GGGAAAAAAGACCAAAGCAACATGAAAGGAAAGCAGTAAACTAGGTAAAAATAGCTCCAAAATATAAGACAAAGCCCTAATTTTTTTAATATTGGAAAATCCTTTAAATCAGTTTGAAATCTATAACCTAAAAGGAAAATGGGCAAAGGTGATAAAATAGTCACAGAACTTAAATACAAATGACCAAAATACAAATGAAAGGATACTCAAACTCATTTAATTGATACAAAGTAAAACAGTAACATCATAATCTCTCCCACCTTTCAAACTGACATTGACTAGGAAGTTTGCTAAGAAAAAAATACCCAGAGTTGGTGAGGGTAGAGAGAAATGGATACTCTCAAACATTGTTGGTGGGAGTATAAATTGGTTCTACCCTTTAGAGAGCAACATGGTAATAGCTATTAAAATGTAAAATAGGGGTACTCTTTGTCTCAGCAGTTTCAACTCCTGGGAATTTATCACACAAATATATTTCCACAACGTAGAAAGATATAAGGCAATGCTGTTGACTACGGCATTTTTTCTAATACTAAAAAACTGCTAACAACTTAAGAGTGGTCTATCAGTAGGTTAAATAAATTAAGCCATGGCCATAAAATTAGGTATAATATAGTCATCCAAAGGACTGAAGTTGATTTGTGCATGCTGATGTTGGAAAGAGGTCCAATATATACTCTAAGCTGGGGCATAGGAATCCAGTTGTGGTATAGTATGTATCACATACAGAGAAAACCTCCCTAAGGCTACAGAAAAAGTTGTTAACAGTGAACTGGGGAAATGGGGACTTTTAGTTTTCCTTTCATCATTTTTATGCTGCTTAAATTATTTTTTAAAATCATCTATACCTTCTTAATTAAAAAAAGAAACCAAGAACTAGATATTGGAAAATATTTTTTGCACTCTAGTTATAAAGGGAAAAGGACCTAAAAGCAGTAAGATGAAAAAGGTTTAGGGCCATTGGTCCAAGAGCTGAATTCAGCACAAATGGGCCTGTCTCCCTTCAGCCAGCTTAACTCCCCTTGGGAACACTATTCCCAGGAACAGAAACCAGAAAGAACACAGGCACTGTAGACTCTTCCCCTCAGGATGGAGGGCCTAGTCAAGTGTGGAAATTTGAATTTGAATTTGGAGCCTGACTGGTCCACCTGACCAGCCAGTTTATATCCCGGGCCTGGGCAACAGCACAAATAATCCAAAAAAGCTAATTACTTACTTAGCATTAAGTCACATTAATTTTAAATTTCTCATCTGAATAGGGACCAACATTCCATTTTATTCAGTAAGGGCATTCCCACAAGGCACTAAGCTAAGTACTAAGAAGAGAAGAAGAGCAGAGTAAAACATGGTACCTGTCATCAAGTCATTCAAAGTCTAGTGAGGAAGGGAAATGCGCATACAGCCATCCCATCAGAAGGAAGGCAGGCTAACAGGTTACCTGCTGGGTTACCTGCTGTAGCAAAGGTATAGAGAGAGATTAACCCCATCTGTGGGGATCTGAGGTCTCAGTAAATACATGGCACTTCTCTGAACTGAAGAAGCTGTACAATTACCTTTCTCCTCCTTTCCACTTATCAACTCATTTCCTTGGTAAATTTGACAACATCCTTTCTCCTGTTGCTTGATTCCTATCACTAAGCATAATACCATCTCTTTTGCAAAAGAAACCAACTAGTGTTACATGTACTTTTCAATATTGAATATAGTACCATAAATACATCTTTGATCAAAGTTTTATTTATCCGGGAGTTGTTCACTCATAGCTATACACCACAGAAACAGCTCAAAAATGCAAAAATGTCAGCAAATTAGCTTACAAACTGTATCTTCCCAAATATTTCTTCTACACAGATTCCATTTACTAGTTCAGGTCTTTGGTTCAGAATATAAGGTCATCCTAGAGCAACCATGAAAAAAGCCAGGCTAGGATTTTAATCTAAACTGAAGAAACAAAGGACTGTTACTATTTTGTCTGTGTTTTGGGGTTTTAGTTTTGGTTTTGGTTTTGCTTAGAACTGGTGGAGACACAGATAAGTATAGAGCTACTACCCTCGACTCAGTAAAGAAGGAACAACATTTCTTAAGAACTTAAATCTAGAAATCTAAACATTTTTTTTAAATATTTTATTTGGGATCCCTGGGTGGCGCAGCGGTTTGGCGCCTGCCTTTGACCCAGGGCAAGATCCTGGAGACCCAGGATCGAATCCCACGTCGGGCTCCCAGTGCATGGAGCCTGCTTCTCCCTCTGCCTATGTCTCTGCCTCTCTCTCTCTGTGACTACCATAAATGAATAAAAATAAATAAATAAAATAAAAGATTTTATTTATTTATTCATGACAGACAGAGAGAGAGAGAGAGAGAGGCAGAGACATAGGCAAGAGGGAGAAGCAGGCTCCACACAGGGAGCCTGATGTGGGACTCGATCTCAGGTCTCTAGGATCATGCCCTGGACTGAAGGCGGCGCTAAACCGCTGGGCCACCGGGGCTGCCCTAAATATTTTTTTCTTAGTGTTAGATATACTTTCAGTATTAAATATATTACCATAAATATGTCTTTGATTAGTTTATTTATTTAAGAGTTCCATCAAACCATAAACCAAAACCCGTAAACCGTGTAAACCATACTTAACACACTTTGTAGGCTTTCAACATACTTAGCTCTAAAGAGTGCATGTTTCACAGTCAAAAACCACTGTATTTAAATTTGGTTCCACTACACTGATGAACTTTGGTAATCATTTCTTGTCTCTGAGCCTCAGTTTACCAAAGGTATACTTTCCCTACCTCACAGAGTTTTTTAAGGATTAGCAACAATCTAGGTAAATCATCTAGTCTATTGTCAGGCACAGAGCAAGCCATCAATAAATGACAGCTACAATAATCAATGTTATTACTACGAACCCTAACTCAGTGGGACAGAGGTACATCAAGCCACTCTGTGGGACCCAGAAGGCAAAAGTACAGAGTAAGCTTCTTTTCTACTACAATAATGAGCAATCAGAAGAAGTGATTTCAAGAACTATGACAACTCGCAGAACAAGTATCAAAAGTGGCTGAGAATCTATACATGCTCTGGATTCTATACAGGAAAGTCCACTTCACCACTAATTATACTTTGAGCAAGCTGTTCAAAGGATATGTCCTTTCCTCAACTAAAATGGAACTAATAACTATAGGAGACTCTTAATAATTGGAAACAAACTAAGGGTTGCTAGAGTGGAGGAGGTGGGGGGATTGGGCAACTGGGTGACTGGAATTAAGGAGAGCACATGATGTAATGAGCACTGGGTGTTACATGCAACTGATGAATCGCTGAACTCTATCTATCTCTGAAACTAATAAAATATACTATGTGTTAATTAATTGAATTTAAATAAAATAAGATTAAAACAAAAACAAAATAGTCCTTTGAAGCACTTTATGGGGATCTTGTGAAGGTTAAATGAGATAATCATGGAATATTCTTAGTACAGCATCTGGCAACAGTGACAGATGTTAACTATCAGCCTGTCCATAAAATCCTTGGCACCACCAAAGACTTACCAAAAAGGGTGTGAAGAGCTTGCAACACTAACATGTATTTCAGATACATGTACCATTTTTCAGAAGTATATACAGTCCAGAATGATTAATATAATACTAATTATTTTAAGAGTTCTACACAAGTGACTTTTAAATATATGAAAGGATTATTAAAAATATTCAAATAAAAGAGAAATCTAGAAAGGAAAAAGTGAGCTCATTTAGCCAACCATCCCCTATTCTAACCCTCAAGTCCACTTTTCAGGGGGAACCACTGGAAGGCACTGTGGTGGGCACACTTCAGATCCTTGTCTCTCAATATGGACATGACGTGGGATTAGCTATTTTACAAAACTGGATCACACCACACATACTATTTGTTTATTCAACAATCTTTTCATGTCAATGCATAAATTCCTAACTCGTTCATTTTAGCTGTTGTTCAAATTGCTTGCTGCTTCAGATAAAGGATAATTTATTAATCCATTATTCTAGGCATTTAGCTTTTCTCTAATTTTTTGCTATTAAAAATCATTCCAAAATGACTATTTTGTTTGAAGGTCATTCAACACATGGGCAGGTATTTCTGTTGAACAGCTTCCTAGACATGAAACTGCTGAATCAAAGGTTTTGCACATTTTATATTTTGGTAGTAAGGACTGCCAAATTGTCCTCCAAAGGGAACATAAATAAAAGAAAGGACATTGTACTCACTGTCATTAACCATCTGCTTAAAAACCAATAAGTACACTATAATGTAGGAAAAAACTGTACATCTTCTCCTGGAAAAGTAGCCCTCACCTTCAAAAAAATAGATGGGAATCACAGCTAAAAATCCTTACTCTATCCTTCTCAACATCAGAGCCCCTGTTCTATCTTCATCTTAACATCCTAGACCCTCACATCACCTCCTGCAATGACCTGGCTCATGTCAAAACTAGTTTTCTAGTCCATCCTGCCCCCACCCAATCCCAAAGCCAACTGGTTTGGAGTGGGGGGCAGCAAGGAGGAAAGACTCAAGACCTGAAGGGCTACTGTCATCATGTAGCAGCCACACCAAGCTCCACTAAAACAGAATTATTCTAAGCAATGCTCGCTCAAAAGCTCTACTCTGTTGCTGTTTTAAAGCAGCAATGGATTACAATCTTTTAATCAATAATCACTGGCCTACAGGTAGTTTACACGTTTCATTTTGTCCCACAATATTATTATAGTGAGGAGCAAGAGCAGTTAAAGGTCATGTTGGTAATTAAAGCTATATTATAGAAATATGCACACCCAAGATATGATTAAATAAGAAAATATTACTCAGTTTAGTATCATCATTAAACTTGCATTAATTTATAAATATTTAAATGTACCATATAATGATCATAAATAATCTGTTTTTGTCAGTTTCTAAAGTAATGCAACCCATAAACCCTTTGAAAAATTACTGCAGAAAGAAATAGTCAAGAAAGTATACAAGCCAGACTTACATTCAAATGCTGTGGTTGTTGCTTCAGGCAGAACCTGGCCTATCACATCCTAAACAAAGAAAGAATAAAGAAACACAATTAGCCATCTTCTTTATTGCTAACATGTGGCAAATCCTAGAGGAAATATGAGAACCTGAAAAAGATTTTTGAAATGTTGGCATAAACTACAAAAACATTAGCTCATAATCACACTTAGCCCAGCAGTGTAAGCCCAGAGTTTAAATCTCTATTAAGGGGTGGGGCAGGGGAGGATTTTTTATAAAATCTCTTCTACGCTGTGTTAATAACATCACCTTTTACTCTTGATTCAATAGCATATACAAATACACTGTTGGCCATTTAAAAAATACATGTAAGTTTCTTTTATGGGAGGCTGTGGAACATACTGCCAATAGAACTGTATTTAGGAGTCAGACTAGCCTGGATTTAAATCTCAGCTCTGTACTTAACAGCTGTGTGACTACAAATTACTTAACCTCTCTGAGCTTCTATTTGATTATCCTCCAATATGGGTCTAGTAATACTTAAAAAGATAATGCAAAAATTAACTTAAATAACATAATAAACATAAGTTAGACTAACACATTGTAGACACTCAACAAATATAGTTTCTGATACATAACTAGCAACATCTTGCCTTATATTCCATAGCGCAAAGAGTTAAAAAAATTTTCATGATATATTAGTCCAATGATGATATTAACCTATAGTGCTACATTTGATACAAACAACTTCTGTCAAGTTTTATTTTTTTTTAAAGAGTTTATTTATTCATGGGAGACACAGAGAGAGAGACCGAGACATAGGCAGAGGGAGAAGCAGGCCCCCTGCAGGGAGCCCCATGTGGGACTCGATACCAGGACCCTGGGAGCACACCCAGAGCCAAAGGCAGATGCTCAACCACGGAGCCAACCACGCGTCCCTCAAGCTTTATTCTTAAGCAACTGGAAAACATACATTTAATGACACTGGAACAGAGTTAAGCTAGCTTACCAAAAAAAATTTGTTTAATGCATATAATCTGATATCGATGTTTAAATGAACCTATAAAGTTGCAATCTTTAAAATCAGTCTACAGAGAAAGCTTAAAGAGGCATGGAATGTCTTCACGAAATAGCCAGTTCTGGGAAAAGTGACCCTCCATTATATCCAGCCTAACCCAAATGGTCTGCAAATCTCACTGCTCTCAGGGAGCTGTGCCACAAAATCCCTCCTGGGCTCTGCCAGTAACTGGCACCAGGCAGTGGGCTGACAAAGCCGCTTGCAGTAGTTCTCAGCAGGGAGGCCACAGCCCATCCAAGCAGGGCACTTGGCAGAGTGGCGGCTGCAACTTCCTTCTAAAGGCAGTTCTTTAGAAGCTTTTGCTGCAGTGGAAATTTGCATAATAGCCTTGCCTCTACAGTGCCTTTTATTTCCCCTGAAAAATAAATCTGTGCATATAAAGTTGATCAAAGAGAACGATCTTAGGCAGCCCTCACTCATTAAAGCCAAAGGAGGACATTTTTCCCCTCTGACTCTAGTCTTAGCCAATGAAACACCAACTCTGAGAAGTATTTATGAAAAAATTTCAGTGTTAAAAAAAATTCTCCACAGTTGTAGGTAGAAAGTATTTGTCAATAGGTAAACAGAAACTGTAGAGTGAGTATAAATAAACTATAGAGGCAGCTAGTGTAAAGCCTGACTCTGGACTGGAGCCAAACTGCTCAGGTTGGACCTTTGCTCTGCCATTCAGTAGCTGACTGACTATGTCTCTCTGTGCCTCAGTTTCCTCTTGTGTACAATGAGATCATAACTGTACCTACCTCATAGGATTAAATGAGTTCACATTTGTAAAGTGCTTAGAGAAGTATCTAGCACATAGTAAATGCCACATGAGTGTCTGTAAAATAAAATAAGTCCCTGATGACTGGAATGTTACAAAGCTTACCTCACAACAAAACCCAAGGATTGGCAGATGGCCACCCATTCACTTACATCATCCTTCCATAGCATTTACCGAGGACCTTTCTTTGCCAGTAGTGTAGTTAAAAAACAAGCTGGGGGACTCCACTCTCAACCCTCCAAGTTGAGGATACCTCTGGTTACTTCAAGGGAACTCTCATCACCTCAATCTTGAGACAGGACCTCTAGTATTAGCAAACTAATTTAGGATCCTTCCTACTTAACGAATAGCAGAACCCATCAAATTTCGAATAACTAGCTGAAAAACTCACCAGGCAGCAATGGCATCCTTTGTCCATCAACATAAACAAAGAGCCATATAGGTTTTACATCTAATGTAGGGAAAAAAAGAAAAGGCAAACTCCCTTGACAGAATCATGAGAATCATATTTCTAAGCAGGGCACTTTAATAATTTTATGTATATTATATTTTAAGTTATATTTTAAGTGACTTATTTAAAAAAATCTTATTCTCATCATAACATTTACCTAAAGAAGGTTTCTTTTTCTTTTTTTTTAAAGATTTATTTATTTATTTATGATACAGAGAGAGAGAGAGAGAGAGAGGCAGAGACACACAGGAGGAGGGAGAAGCAGGCTCCATGCCGGAAGCCCAACGCGGGACTTGATCCCCGGACTCCAGGATCACGCCCTGGGCCAAAGGCAGGCGCTAAACCACTGAGCCACCCAGGGATCCCCCTAAAGAAGGTTTCAAAAGAAAACTTAAGTTTAGGGATGCCTGGGTGGCTCACTCAAGGCATGATCCTAGGGTCCTGGGATTGAGTTCCGCATCAGGCTCCCTGCAAGGAGCCTGCTTCTCCCTCTGCCTATGTCTCTGCCTCAGTCTTTGTGTTTCTCATGAATAAATAAATAAAATCTTAAAAAAGGAAAAAAAAAAAGAAAACTTAAGTTTAAATATTTTAATGGTGGCATTTATTGATCCCTTTCTGTGCTTTTAATAAATCAGTCAAATACAAAATTATAATTAAGCATCAACAACATGCCAGGAGCATAAAAATCATAAAGCTGTAGGCTACAGAAGAATAAGATATAGCAATATTCTAGTCTGGTCACAAAGATAAAGACAAACCTAAAAGAGCCAAACAAAAGACATAAATAGCAAATAGTATTTGCTAACTCAGGAGACAGGAAAAAAATCAAAGGCTCAGTTTAGATAAAAATTGCATAGATGAGGGGAAACATGAGTGGAGATTTGGGAGACAGGATTCAAACAGCAAGAGGAATAAAAGGAACATTCTCTCTTCCCATTGACTAGTTGAAATCTCCTGCACAGTATATTCCCAAAATTGGAGGCTGTGTCTACAAGGAACAGAACACAAAAAGCTGAAAAACAGATAACCAAATGTCTCTGCCCTTGGAGACCAGCTAGGCCTACATTACACTACAGCCAGACCCTAATTATTCAGATGCAGGACAAAGGCCCAGAGAGGTTGAGTGACTTCTCAAAGGTTTCTCAGCTATTCGATGGAGCTGTGACAAGAGCCCTCAACTACAACCCCAGGTCCAAAACACACTCAGGAACAGATGACTCAGTGACCACAAACTGCTTCTGGTTTCTGCGTCTGGTGCTGCCCCCAACGAGCTGTATGACTTTAGCATTTTCTCCCCCTCTGGGGTTCATGCTCCCTCATTTGAAAACTGGGGTGAAATGAGTTATATATTACATAAAGGGGATGCTTCCAGATTTCGTTTGGCTTTAAATTTTTAAGGTTCCAAGCCAAAGATGCTGATGTATCTGTTGCTTTTTGCCAATTTCTTGATGAATAGATGAGGTGACCCTGGAGAAGAGGTCACAGGTGTCCACCAGGATCTGGGCATGCAGTGCATACAGCCTGCTATAGGGAGCATGCAAGACAGCACAACACTCATTGCAAAGAGCCCTTCATCAGGCCCTCCTGACAAAGCATGATCCACCGGGGCTTACCTGCACATGTGAGGACCCATGGCACTCTGAGCTCTAAATGGTGGGACCATTTGTGCAAAATTTACCTTAAGGCCAGTCAGCCCGGAGCCAAGGAACCATTGAGAGATGCTTGAGAAGCAGAAGATCCAGGCCCTGTCCTTTATGTCTTAATGACAATACTTATAGAGCACTTACCAGATCCTAGATTGTTCCAGGGGCTTTATGTATATCAACTCCAGTAGTCCTCATACTCTATCAGGTGGGCACTATTTTAATCCCTGACTCCTCTTTTTTTTTTTTTTTTTTTTTCAGGTAACGAACTGAGACATAGAAGACACTTGCCCCGAAGTGAGTCTGGTAAGCTTTGCAATTTAAACTAGGTAGTCTAGCCCAGAGCTTGTATTTTTTTTTTATTTTTTTATTTTAAATTTTTATTTATTTATGATAGTCACACAGAGAGAGAGAGAGAGAGAGGCAGAGACATAGGCAGAAGGAGAAGCAGGCTCCATGCACCGGGAGCCTGACGTGGGACTTGATCCCGGGTCTCCAGGATCGCGCCCTGGGCCAAAGGCAGGCGCTAAACCGCTGCACCACCCAGGGATCCCCGAGCTTGTATTTTTAAACATTGCACCATTCTACATTAAATAGTACCTTCTGTTATTTCAAATGAGCAAAGTCAAAGAAAGCTTACATCTTTCTCATCACAGGCATGGTCCCACTTAAACTTTGCAAGCCTTGAAGACAGGTATCGTCCCAATTTTACAAGTAAGGAAACTGAGGCTAAAAGAGACAGAGTGACTTGCTTACTTAGTGAGACTGCTTGCAAATAAACCCATGTTTCTAGATTCAAAACCTAGCAGACTGTCCACAAAACCTTAACTGCATGAATCTTCCTTGAAGCTCCCTTTGAAATGTCTGAACAAATATTTCAAGATGCTATGGAGCTCCAGAAACAGGAGACAGAAACGTCCATCTCCTCCAGAAGTTTACCATTTAGTGGAGAAGATAGACAAAACTGTGACAAAACCTGCTAGCTTTGCTGGAACAGAGCTATGGGAACACAGAGGAGAGGCATATTAAGACTAAGATACAGGAGGGACACACGGGTGGCTCAATGGTTGAGCATCTACCTTCGGCTCTGGCTGTGAATCCAGGGTCCTGGGCTGGGATCAAGTCCCACAGTGGGCTCCCTGTAAAGAGTCTGCTTCTCCCTCTGCCTCTCTCTGAATGTCTCTCATGAATAAATAAATAAAATTTAAAAAAAAAAAGACTAAGGTAGAGGAAAAGTGAAGCTGGCCTCTGAACGACAGGTAGGAATTGGCCAGCTGAAGAAAGGGGTCAGACAGCCTGGGACAAAGGTTAGCTCTATGTACCTGGAGCACACAATGTTCTCAGGGATGTGGTGAGAGACCAAGCTGGTGCCAGGCAGGCACAAGCCAATCCAGATAGGCCTAGAGGACCATGTTAAAAAAAGTGTGGGCCTTGTCAAGAGAAGAAATCTATATGCATGTGAGAGTGTGGACGGACTCCAGATGCCAAGAGAAGGGCAATATTTGGTGTTGGCTCACTAGAAGCTACTGGCTCACTCCAGCTTCTGAACTCCTGGCCCAGACACCTGAAAATCTGTGATATTCTGGGCCAGTAATATCCAGAATTCAAAATGTAGGTATTGGAATCAAATTTTGATTGAGTCAGATACAGCAACCAAAAAAAAAAAAAAAAAAATCACACCCCAGATCCTCCTCCCCACAAGAACCTCTGCTCCACCCCCATTTTATCTTGTAGGTAAGTTCCACCATAGATTTGGTACCTGCAACATGTTTCTGGGCATGTCAGTTCTCCTCTTCATACCTCAATTATTCAATACTTAAAAAGGGCACAGTGCACTCCGGCTATCTCAAATGTGTGCTAAAAGATGAGAAATGACAGTGCAGCATGTGGGGAAAAATTATTAAGTAAGCAAATCTGAGTTCTGGTACTGACTCTTGCACTCACGAGCAACACAGCTTTGGAAAAGCCATTCCGTCTTCACTACTCCTCAGTAACTATCTCAAAAAAGGTTAAGAGGTCTCAACAGGCCACTGCCAAGGTTACACTCCGCTCTCACATTCCACCACTTTATCTGAAATAAGTTCTGGGTACCCTGAAAGTAATGACACAGCTCTGATTCTGAGATGCACCCTTCCCCCCCCCCCCCCCCAGGGCTAGCATCATCTGGAATTGCGCTCCTTTTGCATTCTGTGCAGCAGGTCACAGTTTAACAGGCAGTATTTTTTCTCAGTAGTACGTAAAAGAGTGTCTTAGAACCACTGACACCTTAGGTTTGCTGAAGCATGGTTCAAGCAGCCTAGATTCCCTTCCCCAGTGGTCACCAACCAAGTTCGGGGAACTCAGTAGAAAGGCATGGCTGGAATCTGGCCAAGGACATTCCGAGTAACACTTGGGGGGGGGCGGGAGGGGGACGGGGGGGGGTGGGACTTCTAGACTCAGCTCTTTGCAGCCGGTTGGTTGCCTCTGTGTGTATGTCCCAGTACAGGCTGTGAGCTCCTTGAGGGCAGGAGTTCAATCTGATTCATCTCTACGTCCCCAAGGCCCTCCCTGCACAATTGCCAGATTTCAGTCCATGCAATTAATCAATGTGTGTCGCTGAAGCAATAAAGCCGCCCCCACAGGAAGCCAGCAATGGCCACTGCCACTCGCTCGGTGGGGGGGGGGGGGGGTGTGCAGCAGGCTCAGATTCAGCGGTCCAGGGGCTGACTACCCCACAAATCCCTGCGCCCTCCTCAATGGGATTTGGATCCTGCGGTTGCCACTCACCAGCACGTCCCTGAAGAGTAACTGCGGCCCGGAGTGCACTGTCCAGTCCACCGCGCCACTATTTGGAATCTTGATACGAATCACCAGCACCTGGTTCTCCATGGCATGGAAGGGGCCAAGGGCGAGCCACAGCATTACAGGCGCCGGGGGCTCACATCCTGGGGTGGGCGGTACCCACTGGATCGTGGTCAAGCGGGGGCTCCAAGAGGCGACCAGGGGACGGAGGGGTGGGGGGGGGGAGGAGGACAGAGGGTCGGGGAGTCGGGGAAGTGCAAAGAGGAGGGGTGGTCTGGAGGGAGCCCGCGGGCACCGAGCCGGACCCAGGCTGCAGGGGGTCGGGGCTGCCTCCCTGTGAGCGTGCACAGGGCAGGAGGCGGGGGCCGGTAGGAACTAGCGGAGTTGGAAAACAGCGCGAAACGGGATGGTGAAGCTCTCTGGCGTCTGTGTGGATGTGCGGAGACGACCCCGCTTTCGGGAGGGAGGCAGAGCGGCAGGTGTCCGCTCCTCCTTAGCGCAGAGGGAAGGGTCCCCGACTGGAAGGAGCCCCGGGGGCCCCCAGACCAGGCGGAAGCCGACCAGGGCCTTCCGCCCGAGCGCCGCGGAGCGAATCGGGCTCCCCCCCTCGGCCCCCCTCCGAGTCACAGGGCGCGGCGCGCACCGGATCAGCCCTGGCCGCCCCAGGCCGAACGTTCCGGCGGCAGCGGCGGCGGGAGGAGGAGGAAGGCGCGGGGAGGGCACTGTTACTCCGGAACCAAAACGCACGGCACCGGAACCCCCGGGAGCGGGCGAGACGCACCCGCCTCCCGTGGCGCCATGTTGGAAAAGGGCAGCTCCCGGCCAGCCCCGCCCTGGCCCCCGCGCCCGGGTGGGCGGGACCTGAGCGGAGCTCGCGAAGTGCGGGGGCGGGGCTTTCGCGGGGGCGGGGCTTCGGGGCGGGGCTGCGCTGTCCAGGTCCCGAGACCGCAGGTGTCGCGCGGAGGATGGTCCCTCCGGTTAGTGACCCAGGTTAAAGCCCGCCAGCTGAACCTTATAACGAACGGAGGAGGAAACCGAACTGGGGCTGCAGTCCGCCCAAAGCCGGTTGATGGCTTAAAATTGCGTGCTTAAGATTGTTTGCGGAAGCCCTACCTTTATCCCAACTTTGCTAAGCCCTTTACCTTGAGGGGGTTTGTGCATCAAATCCGCAACAGCCAGGCAGGAACTCAAAAAGTACTTGGCTTTTTCTCTTCTCCGCCACAGACGGAGAAGGTCATCGTCTTCCTCTCACATTAGCAAACAGTGCATGGATTGAATTTTTTTTTTTCTTTTTTTGGTTTGTTTTGCCCCGCTGTTGTCCTGAAATAGAAAACAGCCTCCGTTCAAAAGCAACAGGAAACAGGTTCAAAAGCCACCTGGGTGGCTCAGTGGTTGAGCATCTGCCTTCAGGGCGTCATCCTGGGGTCCTGGGATGGAGTCCCCCATTGGGTTCCCCGCAGGGAGCCTGCTTCTCCCTCCGCCTATGTCTCTCATGAATAAATAAATTAAGATGAAAGAAAAAAAGAAAGAAAAGAAAGAAGAAAGAAAGAAAGAAAGAAAGAAAGAAAGAAAGAAAGAAAGAAAGAAAGAAAGAAAGAAAGAGGAAAAAGAGAAAGAAAGAAGAAAAGAGCAATAGTAAAAAAAAAATCAGGGAAGAGTGTAACTGCCAAGGGACAGCTGCAGTAGTGGCCTCAGGTTCTCTCTCTTATTAAATCCTTGCAGAAAATATCCAGTCTAGTCCCCAAATTTTCAGATAGCTCCAGATAGGATTGTTGACGCATTGGGTGATATCTTGGGAAGTAGGAATAACCCTTTGCTGTTTTTAAATGCCTTCTTAACCTCAGATTTTAAAGTGCATAACTGTGTTCATCTGTGGTGCCTAAATAAAAGTTTGTTTACAAATTTCAACCTGTGGGTTTGTCCATAATATCCTGCTAATGTGCACCCGTTGCTTTACTTTCAGGTAGTGAACTTTGTATAAATTTGGTGGGAGAGGAGGGACAATTTCTGCCCTAACATTCAGATAGTTTACACAAGAAAAAAAAAGAATTTAAAGTTGATTAGTTTCAGTACAATACCAAAAAATTTTGTGCATATTTTTCCCTGTCTGAGATTCTTTTAATACTTAATTTGAAAGTCCGAGTATGAGATAAGTTATCTCTTTGTAGATGTAAAACCCCCCATACGACCTGCCTATTGTTTCTTGGGCACAACAGTAGTTATTGTAAGTTAATAGCTTAGGTAGAAATTTACTTAATCAGATGCTCCAGATATTCTGAAATTGCCTTTTTCCACTGGCACTTCAGTCAAGTGAAAAATAAACAGTGTGCCTAAGGTCCCCGTGTACTTTTCATTGAAAGTTCATTTCCTTTTGTTTGAAAAAATAGACCACAAAACTAGAGATTTTCTATGAACCTATCATTTGTTAAAATGGCTTTTTAATTCATTGTACTCTGGGGAAAACCAATTCAATTTGTACTTTCAATTCTTCTGGATAGTTGTATACCCAGAAGTGGAATTGCTAGATCATATAGTCATTCTATTCTATTTTTAATATTTTGAGGAACCACCATTCTGTTTTCTGCAATGACTGCACCATTTTACATTCCCAATAGCAATGCATGAGTGTTCCAATTTCTCCACATCTTCACCAACACTTGTTATCTTCTGTATTTTTTATATTAGCCATCCTGTTGGATGTTATGCAGTATCTTACTGTGCTTTTAATTTGCATCTTCTTAGTGATTAGTGAAGTTGATAAATCTTTTCATATGCCTTATATATCTTCTTTGGGGAACTGTCTATTCATCTGCCCTTTTTTTCAAAAAGATTTATTTATTTATTTTTAAGATTTTATTTATTTATTCATGAGAGACACTAAGAGAGAGAGGCAGAGAGACAGGCAGAGGGAGAAACAAGCTCCATGCAGGGAGCCTGACATGGGACTTGATCCCGGGTCTCCAGGATCAGGCCCTGGGCTGAAGGTGGTGCTAAACCACTGAGCCACCTGGGCTGCCAAAGATTGATTGATTGATTGATTTTTATTTTCTTTTAAAGATTTTATTTATTAATGACAGACAGAGAGAGAGAGAGAGAGAGAGAGGCAGAGACACAGGCAGAGGGAGAGGCAGGCTCCATGCCGGGAGCCCAATGTGGGACTCAATCCCGGGACTCCAGGATCGTGCCCTAGGCCAAAGGCAGGCGCTAAACCGCTGAGCCACCCAGGGATCCCCCCAAGATTTATTTATTTTAAGAGAAAGAAAGCGTAAGTGGGAAGGGCAGAGGAAGAGGGAGAGAGAATCTCAAGCAGAGTCCCAGCTGATTGCTGAGCCAGTTGCAGGGCTCTCTTAGGAGGTGGGATCATAACCCCAGCCAAAACCAAGAGTCCAACATTTAACTGACTGTGCCACCCAGGCACCCCGCCTTTGCCAAGTTTTAAATTGAGTTATTTATGGTTGTTGTTGTGGACATTTTTTTTAATGAGGAAAATACATTTTGCTATTGTAAACCACAGAGGTTTTCTTTCACCTTTTTTTACCTTGCTCTCAATCTTGAATTCTTAATCCAGAATCTGACCCTTTCCTACCACTTCACAGCTACTACCTCAGTCCAAACTACCACTGTATCTTTCTTCTAATCTTGTTTCCACCTTTGCCACTACTCTATTCTCAACCCAGTTGCCAAGGTTAGATCAAGTCATCCTTTATTTAAAACTCTCCGGATGGCTTGTGCAGGATAAAAACTGAAGTCATTTCTTTGACCTATAAAACTCTACACATTCTGCTCTCAACATTTTATGGACTCTCAAACCTCATCTCCTACCACTCTCCCTCATTCACACCAGCCTCCTCCTCATTGTTCCTTGAACACATCATGCATTCCACCTCAGGGCCTTTGCATTTGCCATTCCCCCTGCTTGGATTGCTCTTAGCCCCAGTATCCAGATGGTTCACTGCCTCGCATTCTGAAGGCCTTTCATTGTGGTGGTTTTATTACTCAAAAAAGGTTGTTTGTTTGTTTTTTAGCTTTCTGACTCTGACTCTGCCTTCAACATGTTCACAATGATTTTCTGCTCCTGGACAAGGAAAGCACACTTGATCCTGTCATGAACATAGTTAGCAGACATGGAACCACCAAAGGCTCTGCTGATGTGTTTTTGTTTTGTTTTGTTTTGTTTTGTTTTGTTTTGTTTTGTTTTGTGTTAGACAAATTCGTAAGGACTTTAGGTCTCATAGCACAAACTCCTCAAAGTCAGTCTGAGTACATGCTATGTGGATTTTGGTACTTTCCCAACTTTTTTGGTGTAAAGGTAGATGATTCTATTACCAGGGGTTCAGGACACCTAGTTTCGTTAGAGGCTATTTTGTAGGACAGGCTGCCATGGTATGTCAAAAGATGAACCATTCTGAAAGCCTATGGACACCCTCCCCAGAAGAGTGCATTCTGTAGATTGAACTAAATGTCACCTTCTAGCTGTGGTCTTCCTTTAGCACACACTATGGAAATTACAAACAAGCCCCATACCCACTCCACCCATAGATACAAGCTCATTTATTTTTCTCCTAGCATGTATTGCTAATATATCACAGGTTTTACTCATTTGTTTGTTTTTCCACTAAACTATAGCTTAAAGAGGAAGGGGAACTGGGCATGTCTTTCTTTGCTGCCATGTCCCTAGTATCTAAAATAGTACCTGGCACACAGCAGGCACTTTAATAACATCTGTTGAGTGAATGAATGGATTTTGAAGGCAAAGTGGATTGAGTAATAGGAATGTAACTGTCATGTGCATTTCTTACCTGTCTTAAGCCTCATTTGTTCCTTTGCTTTGCCACCACCACCATCAAGAGTGAGACAACCGCCATTATGAACTCCCAATGAACTACAAATTTTATAGCAAGTATTGATTCTTTTCTACGTTAGAGAATCCCACTTATCTCTTTCAGAGCCTACTGTGTGCCCTTAAACACAACACTCAAATACTTGTTGATTAATTTTGATTTAAAAGAATATGATGTGGGATGCCTTCCTGGCTCAGTTAGTTAAGTGTCCCACTCTTGATTTCAGGTAAGATCATGATCTCAATCATGAGATCAAGCCCAATGTTGGGCTCTGCACTGGTGGTGGAACCTGTTTAAGATTTTTTTCTCTCTCTCCCTCCACCCCTCCCCCTCACATGTGCACACACATTCTCATTAAATAAATTAAATAAAACAAAATAAAATAAAAAATATGATGAGAGCAGAGGATGAAAACAGTAACTTTCCGGTGGAGAAACCTAGCAGACACCATCCTAACCAAGTGATCAAGGTTAACATCCTCAGTAATAAGTCATGTTGGTATCATGTACTCTCTAATACGAGACAGTAAAAAGGGCGGTTGACTTCTGTGGTCTTCTGGTCTTCTCCCTAAAACTCATAACCCCAATCTAATCATGAGAAAATCATCAGACAAACCTAAATTGAGGGACATTCTACAAAGTACCTGACAAGTACTCCTTAAAACTGTCAAGGTCATAACACACAGAAAAACAAAGAAACTGTTACAGACCTAAACAGACTAAGAAGACATGAGAACCAAATACAATGTGAGGCCCTCAGTGGAATCCTGGAACAGAAAAAAGGACAGTAATGAAAAACTGGTGAAATCTACAATTTAGTTAGCAATAATGCACCAATATTGACTTCCTTGATGACTTAGTTTTGGCACCTTAAGT